AGCTCCAGCAGCCCCAGCCCCACGGCCTCCCGTGCCACGGCCCCCCCACCCCAGCCCCACTCACAGCACGGGCACAGCCAGCGTCTCCTCCTGGTGCAGCCGCTCTGTCTGCCTCAGCTTCAGGATCTCACTGTAGTTCAGCGCGTTCACTCTGGTCTTGAATAGCTCCAGGGAGGTGGGCTTGAGGGACAGGGTCCTGGTGATCTGCTCCCGCACCACCTGCAGCACCTGCGGGGACCAGGATGTCACCTCCAGCCTGGTGACGCTCCCCAGAGCCCCTGAATTTGTGCACAGCCCATGGCCCCAGCTCCCCTCCGGGGCCCTGGCATCCCCTCACACCTTATCAAAGTCCTCCTGGGTAGCGCGCATCTCCTTCCAGGTCTTGTTCACCAGCTGGATGCAGATGCAGAAGAGCTCTTCAAAGAAATGATCCTGCCCGAAGAACATAGGGTAAAAGGCCTGAGCCGTCTCCGAGCCTGCGGTGAGAAGGACAGATGATGCCAGACTCCCCAGTTTTTCCAGGGTATTTCAGTATCCAGAACCCAGACATTTCCCAGCCCTTCCTGCCACCATCTACCCACCACCAAGAGCCATCAGCAGCTGGGGAGGGGGGCGTGCTAGGCCCCCTGCGCAAGGTGGGGTGGGAGGTGCTGACCTTGTTCTGCTTCCCGGAGCTCTTCTCCTTGGTGTGCGGACACTCCTTCCCCAAAAGCAGCATCTTCATATCTGCCACAGGAACTGGGGCGAGCGGAGGAGCTGTGAGCGCCCACTCTCCTCTCCTCTCCTCTCGCCCAGGGTCCCAGCACTCAGAGCCCAGCAGAGCCCGAGCATGGGGGCTCCCAGTCCCACGGCACCAGCAGGCACGGTGCCAGGCATGTGGTGGCCAGGCAGAGGGGCAAATTCCCACCTTATGGCATCCCCGGCAGGTCACAGCTGGGGTCGTGGAGGGTCCCCTCCCTTTTTCCCACCCTCTCTTTCTCCCTGGCACCTACTTTTCTCTGACAGGCTCTCGATGGGGGGAGAGCACACCCCCTCCTCCACGTCCCCATAGTGCAGCACCTTGTGGTTGGGTGACAGGCGGCAGTACCAGAGCTTGTCTGCAGCAGAAGGGTGTTCGGGAAAGGCTCAGCTTCCCCCCACTGAGGTCCCCTTCCCCAGGTGGTGGGGGCTGCCCCCTCATCAGCA